GTAAGATGAAGTGTGATTCGTTGTTTCTCATCGCGAATATGTGATGGGGCCAATCAAATGATCCATGCATATTTAATTACATATGACGATTTTTGACAAGTTTGCCCACGGGTGATAAGTAAAGACGAGATCACCCATGAGTTTCCAACGATGTAGGAAAAGTGAATACTAAATAGATTATCAAAATTCTACATGATATTTCTAAATATGGCAAATGTCAAACTTTCCACATCGTAATCATGGTAAAGTATAAGTATACATTTACAGTTAATACAAGTAATAGAGGGCATGTAAATTCAGATTTGATCACATCATTTGATGCTTGCTTGCATGAGTCCGATTAATTAAGCTAGGAAGAAGTATGCAGGAAAGTTGTCCCAAATTATAAATTGTTTTTAAAAATTTTCAATAAGGCCATAATAAAAATATTCCTAGATTCTCATCCCCGCCCGCCCCGATTTTATACCCCCGCCTCAATTTTTTTTTATTTCGGTTTTTCTTCGTCTTAATTTTGATCGGGATCGATATTAATCTACGTTTTAAATCCCGCGAAAGTCGACATGATTTTGACAGCTGAAAAGATGGTTAATTGCTGTAATACATGCGTATATATTTTAAACAAGGGTCATCGGTTGAAAAAGATTGGTGATGATGTGAAGTAAGAAATAATTGAACCTTTATTATGATTTTTATTTGGGTATTGTAGATAAAATTACACGGATTGACCAGGTCAATAAAAAATCTGCAAAATTGAAAAAATAAAAAATATAAAATAAAAGCCGCCCGCCCGCCTCGATTTTTAAAAAAATTCGGATGAGAATCTAGCAATTTATTTATTATGGCCTAAAGTTAATTCTTACTAGTATATATTTTCACTAAATTATGCAAGAATGTCAATCTGGAAGCCATTAATGCTCATGGGTGTTTTTTTCTTCAGGAAATGCTTAAACAATTGGAAGAATTTGCTAAGAATCCTCAACTTGATGTTGTGGACTGTATGGCTGTAGCTGTTCTGTCCCACGGGTCTGACCAGGAAATCATTTGTGGAGTGGATGGTTTTGGTGTGAAGGTGACAGATGATATACTGCCAATGTTTTTTGCCAAGAAGTGCCCAATGTTGCAGGCCAAACCAAAAATGTTTATCATCAATGCCTGTAGAGGGGGTACATTCATTTAGTTATTTTGCAAATTGTTTATAACAGGTTGGGAAATTTCCCTGTGAAGTGAGATTTCTCTACCTTAATTATATTTCGAAAAGAAACAGATCAAAAAGGATGTATGAAAATCAGAAAATGTGTAAAATCTTTACATGTAAAGGAAATTTATCACATGTACCGCAATACAGAAGAAATTGTATCCCATTCAATGTGCTTACCCCAGTACATAAATTCCTTTTTGATACCAGTAATGATACATTTCATTGTCTACAGCTGCTAAAATTCCAAAATAGGATTCAAACAGTTTAAGGTAGGAAATCTTAAGATTGCTGATGGCAAAGTTTTACACAGAAATACTGCAAGCGTATTATATTTAGCATTTACGATATTTGGCGGAAATTGAATTTTGTATAAGTAATAGCAAAGATTTGATTTATGGCATTTCTTCATTTCTTATTTATGTGTACCGGTATATGTGCAAGACATTTATAGTGTTGTATTTGATTTAGCGGTTGCTGCGTTTCGTCAGAGCTGCTAAAAAGAATACAAGTATTTAGGAATAATATGTTTTAATTTCTTCTTCTCAAGAACTACTGGGCCAGAAAAGCTGAAACTTATGTGAAAGCAATCTTTGGTAGTGTAGATTTTAATTATTGAAATCATGGCCCCCGATGGTAGGGTGGGGCCACAAAAGGGAATCAAAGTTTTACATAGAAATAGAACCATTTCCAGCTTAGTTTGGACTTTCAGTAAGGCGTTGCATTCTCGACGTTACATTATTAGCTTCTGAAAACAAAGCTTTCCTTCACCGTTGAAATATACATGGGATAGAAATTCGGGCAAATGTCAGTTAGTGTATCTCTCATTGGGCAAAGAGGTGGAGCTTAAGTCATCTTATCGCTGTCAACAACAATTTAAAGTTCCTGATGTTATTAATTTCTTAATCAATGAGAATCTATTTGCCATTTGACAGACGCTAATTACGTAGCACTGAGAATGCCACACGTTACTGAGAGACGTGCAAACTAATCTGGAAATGGTTCTAATCTTAAAAAATCTTCTTCTCAATTAAGAACCACTGTGGCAGAAAAGTTTTAACTTGTACGGAAAGTTCCTAATGTAGTGTAAATTCTAAACTCTTCAAATCATGCTTCAGAAATCCTCTCTGATACGTTGTTTAGACAAGTTTTACAGCACAGTGTATATATCTGATTAAGCTGTAATATTTTTGTTTTGTTCTCTGTGATGTTTTCTTTTGAAGCAAGGGAAACAAAGAAATAAATTTCCCAACTAAATCTTTCTTTATCTATAATGATAGAAATTCAGTGTATAAATCTACAATCTTTTTCAGGAAAAGAGGGACAGAGAATCAGCATAAAGCCTCAGCAGATAAGGATAGGGGAACACGTGTGAAGACGGACAAACTGCAAACTGATGGAGGAGACAATATGTCAACAAATATCAAACCTCAAGTTAATGATATGCAAGACATACTTCTGTCTTCATCAACCTTCCCAGGTATATTTAACATAATTAACTTATCTGTTACAAACTATATTTGTTTACATGGCTAGGTTGTAAGTTTTACATGCTTTACAAAGATGGTATTTTCTCCTTTTCTTTCACTATCTCATTTTGAAAAATTGTTGAGAAGAAATTAATTAAGTACCGGTAACCACTATTCTGTATGGTCATATAAAAAAAATTGTGCAGAATTTAATTTTGTTGATAATTGTTTACAACAAAATATAAGAAGTTTATAATTTCCAATGAATATTTTTCTTTACAAAGAATTTTATTATTTAAGTATACATGAAATAAATGTATACAAAATATGAAAAAAAGTAATGATAAATTGTAAATGGATGACCAGATTTTCTTAGCTTGAGGTCCATTAATTTAGTAGATTGACCTGATTGTTCTTTCAGGTTACGCGTCTTACAGGGACACAGTAGAAGGAAGCTGGTTTATCCAGGAGCTGGTCGGTGTTTTCAGGGAGCAGAGTGACACAGAACATGTAATGGATATGCTGACAGAGGTAAATGACAGAATCTTATTTGTTCAACATTAAATTAATATATATCGTCCATGATTTGTTGTTGGATATGATTTTTAATCCAACGAATTGTATGTATTTCACATCCCTGGGTCATGGCTCGGGGCTGAAAGAACACACAATGAGTTTGATAAAATCATATCCAACCACAAATTAATGGAGATTCTTTTTATTCCACGTTTCATACATTATTATCAGTTTTACACCATTTTTAGCTACCTGAGCCAAGGGCTCAAGTGAGATTTTCTGATCAAAATTTGTCCGTTGTCTGTCGTCGTTGTTGTTGTTGTAAACCTTTTAACATTTTCATCTTCTTCTCAAGAACCACTGGGCCAATTTCAACCAAACTTGCCACAAAATAATAGTATCCTTAGGTGAAGGGAATTCTAATATATTCATATGAAGGGCCATGCCCTCTCCCAAGGGGAGATATTTATGAATTAATGAAAAATTTATGGTATCTTTTAAAAATCTTCTTCTCAAGAACCATTGGGGTAGGAATGATGAAACTCATGTGGAATTATCCTCAGGTAGTGTAGATTCAAGTTTGTTCAAACCATGACCCCTGGGCAGTACTAATAGGAATCTGTAATTTTGCTATGATTTTTACCAGATTTTCGAAATTCTGGACCACTTGGTCAAGTGTTCTGGTGCTGGACAGGCCTCTGTTAATTTGTATTCTACTGAGAGAAATTATTCCCCTTTGCTTTTCACCATTGATAATTAATCACTTTAATTAATGTTATGGAAAGGTCAATTGAATAATAAAACATATAACAAGTTTTATAAAATTGTATTATACAAAAATACTTTCATACTTTTTAGTGGTCAGGTAAATTTGTAAATAATAGATAATTTCATTTAAAGAGGTAAAACTACCTTGTAAACTTTGTCAGAATGGTAAAAATGCAGGAAGGTTATAGCATGTAGTTGGTCATACAGGATTTGTAGCCTCTAGTTATATCTAACAAAACCCTCATGGGTTTAAAGAGCAAGGTTTCTGTTGCTGAAATTTGTGAAGTAAATAGATCTGTTACAAGATTTGTTACAGCAAGGGTACTAAACTTATTATTTTTAATCCCTAATTATCCTACAATATAAACTCACCTATAAGTGCTTTTTGGGGGAGTTAAACTTTAGTCCAAAACTCATCTGACTTATAAGCAGGTTATAAAAGATTGTTATTTTAGATGGTCAATCCCTCTAAATAAGATATAAATTTCAGTTGAATTATAGGCAGACAAACATATGTGCGAGTATATACAGTATTTCTTTTGCTTTTATGCAACAAAGCTTCATCTGTCAGTTTCAGCCATACCAACAAAGATCACTATTCAAAACACTTAAGCAGCGACTAAAACTATCAAAGCAATGGTAATGAGCATGACATTTTTTAGCTCTACTGGTCAGAGACCAGAAGAGCTTATGCGATAGTAAGGTGTCCGTCGTCCGTCCATCTGTCTGTCTGTCTGTCTGTCCGTCTGTCTGTAAACAATTTTTCAAAACGCGACTCCGCCTACAGTTTTGATCTAATTTCAATATAACTTGGCACACAAGTAGACTACACTAAGATACATGAAATAGTGCATCGGTTTGTGATTTCGATGAACGATGTTGCCATGGTAACTAAAAATATAATTTTCTGTGAAATTTCTTTTAAACGCTACTCCTTCTACAGTTATAAACTCATTAGAAAATAACCTGAAACACAACTAGAATACACTAAGATACATGAAATAGTGCATTGGTTTTTGATTTTGATGAATGATGTTGCCATGGTTACTAAAAATAGAATTTTCTGTTAAATTTCTTTAAAACGCTACTCCTCCTACAGTTGTGATCTGATTTCAATATAAATTGGCACACAAGTAGACTACACTAAGATACATAAAATAGTGCATTGGTTTTTGATTTCGACGAACGGTGTTGCTATGGTTACTAAAAAGAGAATTTTCTGTGAAATTTCTTTAAAACGCTACTCTTCCTACAGTTTTGATCTGATTTCAATATAACTTGGCACACAAGTAGATTACACTAAGATACATTAAATAGTGCATCGGTTTTTGATTTCCATGAACGGTGTTGCCATGGTTACTAAAAATAGAATTTTCTGTGAAATTTCTTTAAAACGCTACTCCTCCTACAGTTGTTATCTGATTTCAATATAACTTGGCACACAAGTAGACTACACTAAGATACATAAAATAGTGCATCAGTTTTTGATTTTGATGAATGTTGTTGCCATGTTTAATTAAAAAATAAAATTTTCAATTAAATTCCTTTTAAATGCTACTCCTTCTACAGTTTTGGTCTGAGGGCAATGGTTTCTTTTTTCATACTTTGTTATAAGTACAAACCAATAGAGCTACAGTCTCAACAGAGACTTCTGGTTTTTACATGTATTATAGTGCATTTTGTGTTTTTGTTTACATCATTGCAGTTGAAATTTATTTGAATTATAACAGTGGCCATATTTTTACATTTTAAAATTAAACGTGGAACACTGCTCACAATGCGGCCTCTTTTTACAGTACCCACCGGACACAACCTAACAGAAAGCGAACCCGGAGCGGACCCCGGGTTCGCTCTTTGGGTCCGCTCCGGGTTCGCTCGGGGTTAGCCCCAAAGCGAACCCGTAGCGGACCCCGAGCGAACCCGAAGCGGACCCAGAGAGCGAACCCCAAATTCAGTAGCGATCCCAGAGAGCGAACGCAGGTTCGGTATTTCTTTACAGAGCTGTCAATCAGGATTAGCGATTAACCAATCAGCGCATCAACCAATCAAAATAGCATATTAATCAGACGATTGGGATATAAGATCGAGCGTGTTGATTTAATTCGATATAAATGCAAACCCTGTACATTACAAGCAAAACGTGTGAATGTGCTGTGTAAATCTATTATGATTATAAAAATATTATTTAATATTTATTTATTTTAATCCTCGGGGTTCTATCTATTTTCTTTTTTAATTAAGGCAATTAATTATTATGTTTTAATTTTCCATGTAGAATTATACATAAATACATGAATATACACTATTAAAGAAAGAAATCCGGACCGCTATGAAATACGTCTGGTTTATCGGGGTAGACTCAGGTGAAGTGCGATTTCCATAATTGAACGAATTAATTATGCTAATTAATCTCGACATTTAGTAAATCGTACATTGTTTCATTCTCTCAAAATGGCGTAACTATACTTGACAAAGAATAATCTGAGAAATATAATATAGAAGGGATATTTTAACATATGAATTATGATCTATTATAGATATTGAAATGTTTTTGGACTAATTATTGGGAAAAAAATTATTGATAAAGGCGTAAGCAATACGTAGTTATGTGGGTTGTTCGAGAGTTGGTAACGCAAACTAATATAACTGTAGAGTTACACTAAATTGAAGGAATAATCTTTTTATGTATCATCCGGAATTGCGTTAAATTCACGTTCATTCTGGTGAAGTCATTCAGTTTGTTAATACCATTAGGGTGGAATGACTTAAATCTGTGCATCCAGAAGGAAGATTTCCATATACACGCATTTTTTTCATGCCCAAGAAGATCAAGAAGATTAACATGATTAAGAAGATCAATAATTTTGATGTAAATTTTGAGTAATTTAATATGTTACACGTAAATTGAGAAATCATAAATGAAATAATTAAATAATTAGAATTTTACAAAGACAATGTGTGTGTGAAAAAGGGGGGCTATATTAATATATTCTTATCGGGTCGGGAGAAAAATTATTATTTGCCTTTTTCTTTATTCTGATAAAAATCATACTCGCTCCAAAATTCTGACCTTGAAAAATATCTTATATACAGTGAATTTTTTTAAAGAAAATGTCCGGTAATTATTTATTACGAAATTTTAATGTGTAACCACTATGAATGAAATCTAAATATATCAGATGTACAAAAGGTTACATGTAATTTATAGATGCGAACAAATGCATTTTTAAACTATATAAAGCATGAATTTTAAAGGTATTTAGTTTAGATTTCTTTCGTCAGTTTCACTTGTACACCATTCGATACACTGAAAATCAATTCAACACTCTTTCATTCCTCTTCTTTTTTGTTTAATTTCTCGTTATAACTTAAGAATAATAAATGCCTTATAACCCGCCGTTAAATTAGTTTGAATTTCTCGGGATCGAAAAATCAATGAAATCAATTATTCATGTACATATAAATCTTCGTCGAATGTACAGTTGAATTTTAGAAAATTTATCAATGTTCTCCATTATATCACTGTTTACATGTACAGTGTATATTAAAGCGAGGTCCGCTTCACGCATCACTGCGTAAAGCGGTCCCAGAAAGTGAACGCCGGGTTCGCACTAGCGGACCAAGAGCTGATCCCGAGCAAACGCGGAGAAAACCCGGAGCGCACCCAAAGCGCACCCGGAGCGGTCCCAAAATTTCTGAAAGCGAACCCGAAGCGGACCCCGAGTGAACCCGGGAAGCAAAGCCGGGGTCCGCTCCGGGTTCGCTCTGGTGTTAGGTTGTGTTCGGTCGGTACTGTAGGTCTGATTCCCCCGTCTTTTTCATCACAGTAGGTTTACTAGTATATGCTCATGGGTACATGATTTAAATTTTTTGCAGGTTAATCACAGAGTGTCTCAGAAACATACTGAAATGTGTGCTCAAATGCCATTCCCATCCAACTCTTTGACCAAGAGATGGTACCTCAACCCACCTAAGAACTGTCAATTAGTTATTTAAGAGGTTTTGTGCCATGGATACTCTTCAGTATTTGCAAAGAGCAGATACCCGGTACAATGGGCCATATGTGATAGACCAAAGTCCTTCATTTCTTTCTGTGACTGCAGGAAACATGTACACTGCTTGAACATCTTGAATAATTACAAAATATGCTTTTATCTCCTTGCATATTTTCACAATATATAACTGTTTCCATACTTGTTTACTAAGTATTACGATATGGAACTACAATTTAAATGGATATGATCTACTAATATACTTAGGATCATTTAATTTACGTGACACCTTATTTTTGTGAGAAAGACATTTACTCTTCATTTGCAAGACAAAATTTTCACAAATTGTGGTTCTGCTTTATATATTCTTTAAGAAAACTAATATAAGTGAGAACATTTTTGCGAGCACTCTGTGTCGCATAATTACGCAAAAAATAAAGTTCTCCTGAATAAAAAGTGATTTAGTAAATTTTTTTTGTAATATATATTATGAAAGTTCAGACTAGAATTTGTAATACATGTATATGATATTGTGAATTATCTATTGAGTTCTAAAGTTCTGCTGGACAGGGGTGTGCAATTAGAAAAATTTACTACTAGCCCACGGGCTAGTGGCAGCTATAAAGTTACTAGCCCCAAGTAAAAAGTTACTAGCCCAAATATAGGAGCAAAAATTTAAAATAAAATGAAAGTAATTGTTGAAAAAGTCAGGGTACTGAGGTAATTCCTTTTAAAATTAATGTAATTCTCACTATTAAATTTTAAAATCATGTTTAAACTAGCCCGACCCCAAAAAATGGTAGCTCCGGGCGTCGGGGGATGCTTATTGCACACACCTGGCTGGACAATTGTCTCTAGCTTTGCATAAAATTAGTGCTTCTAGAATTAACCTGTAGTGAAGAAATTTTTCTTAAAAGAGTTATGTGGACAAGAGACATGTGACTATATATTCATAATTATGTCCCTTATCAGCTATTGTGTTTCATGTGCAAAAAAACTGGATGAATACGTTTATTTTTTCATCAGTTAAAAGAGTTTTATGTATTATATACATCTATTTTTTATTTGTCTTAACATCATTCTGTGCCATGCATTATTAAAACTTTCATTTTTTGTAGTACATGTATGATCATTTGCTCTCAATATTTGTACATATTCAAATACATGAAATATTGACATTAATTTTTATATATGGATTAAGTTTTATGAATAAAAGAGTGAATCTGAAATATGTCTTAAATTCTCTGTGAAAATACATTCAAATATGGATTTAATGACAGGGATGTGAAATGGATGGATGATTTTGCCTAATTATAAACATAATTTAATTGCTACCTGTATATCAATTAAGTTTACAATATATTTTAAAGTTTCTGGAATGAAAATCACTTCCCTGTCAGGGAAGTATAAATCGCTAAAAGCGTGTTTTACTGTATATTCTTTATCATCTGAGTTCTCCCATTATGAGCAGCTTAACTACTCTGGGTAGATGAATCATTGGCTGACTTCGATCTTGAACTGTTGTTGAACTAGAGTAACATCGAACCTGATATAGTTTAACTGGAGTGACGTAATTTTCCTACCATAGTTCTACCAACGCAAACACGAGGGTAGAACTATGGTAGAAAAATTACGTCACTCCAGTTAAACTATATCAGGTTCGATGTTACTCTAGTTCAACAATAGTTACTCAAGTTCATGATTGAAGTCAGCCATTGTCTGCTGAATGCCAGTATAGCAAATTTGAGGATTTTTTCTTTATGTATGAAGTGCTTCACTCTAGGACTGATTACCACTGCATGGATAGGCTATGGTTTCACCCCGGCCTCTACTGATTTTTAGCATTGGGAGGGGGAAAAGTAGCACCCACTTAATTGAAATACTGTATACAGGGAAATTTTCGCCCCCGTTTTATTTTCGACCCTTTCACCCTACTATCATTTTGGCGAATTTAAAACGGGGCGAATGTAAAGATTACGGTATAATTTCTTAAACAAAACTATGACTCGGCGAATTTTAAACGGGGCAAAATTGTTCACAAGTTCAAGAGGGCGAAAATAACACGGAGCGAAAATAACCCTGTATACAGTAGTTCTTTAACTTGCATGGGGATTGTACATGCAAACAAAGACATATAATAATACTATTATATGTCTCTGATGCAAATACCCGTAAGTGGGTTATCTGAACTAAAAATGATTGACTGGTGTGAAAGGAGCTTAAAAAACTATCAACTGATATTTTCTGTGAAAGAATTGTTAGGTATACCAAACAATCCTGAGATTGCATGGGGAAACCCTTCCTTGTACTTGATTATGTAAAAAAGAAAAACCCATATCAAATGGAGTATGCAACAGTCATTGCCTATACATAACATGTGTAAGCTTTCCCATATCATTTTGTTGGAAAACAAACCTGGAGGATATTTGAAGCAAGCAGTGAGAGAGGTTTTAACAAGCTTTCATATGAGGATTGCATTTTTATTCATCTTTGAGAAACAAAGTGGGCTGAACCTGTTTGAGTACTTTGAAAGTACATTTGTACTAATATACATGTACTATTAGCTCCAGAACTGGACCATTATGGTTTTATGGATAGGCACTTGTCGTTACCTAGTTTTCTTATATAAAAAAAAAATAACCCCATATACCTAATGTATTAAGGCTGTTTAAAGTTAATTCTACGTTTAACGTCACATCTAAAGTTCAAAACCTACGAGGGAGGGAGGAAAAAAATAAACAAACAAAATTTTCAAACAATTGTGAATTTATTCAAACTAACCTATTCACTACATTAAAAACATTACAATTAAGTAATAAAGAGCATTTAATTAATATGACACCTAAGATTAATTTCCATAGCAGATTTTTTTTCTTAGTATGTAAATCAGTTTGAGTCCTATTGTTAGCAAACAACGTATTCTAAGACTGAATGTGCAGGAAAGTGACTTTTAACTAGGCCTCAATTGTCCTTTGGATTAATATTGCCACACGTCCATGGTACCCTGGAGGCAAATGCTTCTTCTTATGGGAATAGTTGATCAATATCTACAATTAAAATTATTGATGACAATATTTAAAACTGTTCATGTTGAAATATCTCAAATTGAATTATGTAGTATTTTTTCTTAGTACTAGATCTACTAGCATTAAGTTTTGAAAGTGTGAATATTAATATCTGGACCATAATGATAGCTGTTAGATTATTTTTAATACCTTGAATTCCACACTAAGGACAGGATTCTTCACGTCTTGGAATACCCCAACTTCTTTCCTTACTCTCCTTCACTTGAAAGGCCCTATCTTCGGTAAGCTTCTCCCTGCTCAAATGGTTAAGAGAAGTATTATCTTTTCCAACAATTGTAGCTATTTGTAGGTACATGAATTATAAAGAAATCAATTACTTTACTCATTACTGTTCCTTTCGATTTTTACAGAAATATTTTTAATACGAAACATATCAAATAAGATTTGAATGATGCTTTTCACGGGTGACTGGAAATTCCAGAAGCCCCTCGTTTTTTGGAGAATACCCATACAGAAGGGTAGAAGCCCCAATAAAGTGGTAGAAGCCCCATAAAATTGAATGAAATGGGGTACATAAAACCCTAAGGTGATGTTTAAATGAATGATATCGATATCCGTAAATTTTTATAGCCAATTTTACCTCAGAGTCGACAAAATCGGGCGCCATTACTGGTTTACTGTACACCACGCCCGATCTAATTTCGAAGCGAGCTGCTGTTTATCATCGTATAGATAAAGTTAAAATTATTCATTTTAATTTTAATATGTTTGTTATGCAAGATATATATCAAATATTATGTAATAAATATTTTTTTTTAAATTAAGAACGTTAGCCATTAAGATAATTTAAGATTTTTTTTTATTTTTGAGATTTTAGAGAAATTTAGAATTTAGAGATATGATTATATCCAAAAGCTTCAAAGCAACAATAATAATAAAAAATAGAAATGATAATTAATTAAACTTATATGTTTCAAAGAGAACAAAAAAAATAAATAAATTTCAAAATATGAAAATACTGAATTTATTTTTGAGATTTTAGACAAATTATGAATTTAGAAATATAAAAATATGAAAATCAAAGGTTCAAAGCAATAATAATAATAATTAAATTTTAAAAATGAAAATAATTACTTATATGTTAAAAGAGAACAAAAAGTAAATCAATGTCAAAATATGAAAATACTGAAACCTGGAAAGAAATAGTAAATTAAAAGAATATATCAATTTTCAAATATAAAGATATTTTATTTCAAAGTAACTTTTTTATGTTCTTTTCTTAGAAAAAAAATTAAGATGTTTTAAATATTTTACATCAGTTGTTTACATTATGAATTGTCATTAAAATAAAAGAAATATGAATTTAAAAAAAGTAAAGTAAAAAAAAACACACCACAAAATAAAATATAACGGAATTTTTGATTGAATTTTAACTACGAAAAAATCTCAGTCTGGTTAAGAGAACTGAAAATCTTTTATCATCTCCTAGCATAGGTATTTTATGTAATTTTACATTTCATTGCCAGTTGAATCTGTCGACTAAAAATTTCCATTGCCTCTCTGTTCAAACTAATCCCATCTTCACGCCAAATGTTTTTATTTGAATTCATTAAACCCCTACATCTCCAAAATATCACATTCTGAGAATTCCCATATTTCCTCCGTAGTGTGTTATTTATGTCAAAAACAGTAGAATTGTACTTTCCTGGATCCAGGGTTTCACAAATCATTTGCCTAAACAGACTTCCAATAAATATTTTCTGAACCGAATCATTTCTTAACAGTTTTTCAATAATGTTTTGGATTCTTAACACTATAACCGACAGAGAAGATGAATATATATCTTTTTCTCCCACTTGCAGAAACGCTTTTAAACCAGTCTTAAACCATTAAAACCCAAAAATGTTTTTAAAATTGTATACTTATCATTTTTCCTAGAGTATATAGGGTTAGTATCAGGCAGTATTCCTCCCCCGCCAGACGGGTGCAGACCAGTGAATACTGTTTGGTGTTGTGTTAGATTAGGTTAGTTTAGGAATATATATATTTTTTTTAATGTTGCTAATTAAATTATAAATTCCTTTCTATAAAATTTTTTATAATGTTATTTAATTTTATGTCAATTTCTTTCATTTGGCTGTAATATGTTTATACATGAACAAAAGATTGACTAGGAATAATGATAAAGTATCTTTATTAAAATAAGTCTTTTTAAATTTTTTTTAAAATTTTCTTTTAATCTTTCGGTCATCTTTCGGTCCTTTGACTTTAATATTTTTCTGTTTCAAAATTCAAATCATGGCTCTACAATTAAGGAGGCCTCCACATGGCTAGAGCTGGGAACATAAGGAAACTTTGAATATTTTCCAGGTATTACTAATTTAAAAGGTCTTTATTAATTTATCATTATTATTAATATTAGTATCAAAATTATCAAATTCATATTTTCCTTATTTTCCTTATGTGTGTGCTAACGTCCTTAAAATGAAAATTTGTATTTAAAGCATATTACCATTTCATATCAACATTATTTTAAAAAAAAATTATATTACAAAATCATTTATTTTACAATTTGATAATGAAAGTCAAGAACAATTGAGCAAAGTCAAGGTTCAGTGTATATATACACATGCCCTGCCAGAGGGGGGTTGGTCAGAGTAGCTGAGAACAGGTGTTTGATCAAAAGAAGTTTATTGTCAAGTTGACCAAGTGTCAACAGCTGTGTATATATTAATGTACACACACAGGGGTGCCTCTTTATCCCAGTACATAACAACACAGCTAGCTGATGTGTAAATAATATTCTCTCCATATTCATACCACTTTACAAGTGTTTGCATATGCAATTATGCACATTTTATTCATTTTTATGTAACTTTTTTTATTTCCTGGACCTGGATTCTAATAATTTCATTCTAATGGATACATATTGCTCTCTAATATCAATGAGTATAATTTGTTCTATTACATGAACAAAAAAATGATAAAAAAAAAAACCTCCCCCAAATAAAACAGAACCAAAAAAAAAAATTACAACAAGTGACTGGAAAATAATAATGAATGCATGAATACTGAATTTCAAATATAAATAAACAATTGGAAGAAAAAGAAACCAAAACAAAT